AAGGGGGTATAAAGTTAAAAAATCTTTAAGTTTTTAATAATTTAAATTTACAATAATTATAATTAAAAGCTATATTTAAAGATTAAAAGTATGTAATAATATATAGGGCGATCTTATAAAGGGATTATAAATTAAACTTAAATTTTAAACTTTGCATTTAATTAGCTAAATATAGCATTAATCCTTAGAAATACTTAAAATATTGTAATAAATTATAAATCTTAAGGGCATTAATTATAATAAAGGATAAATATAAAAATATTAACTTAAAAAACCTAAAAGTTAACGTTTTATATATAAAGATTATTTAAGGTATTTATAACTTTAATATTAATAAATATCTTAAAAAAAAAAATTTTTATTATAAGTTAGCATTTTTATTAACTATTATTATAATAAAAAGTAAAATAATTTTTAAGGAATTATAATATTTATAGGAAAGTAAAGATATAAAAAAAGGTTAAAAAGGTATTTTTAAAATTCTTATTAATTCTTAATTAATATTATTAAGAAATTATTATGGATTTTATTATAAAATTACTTAATTTAAAAAAGGGTAAATTTAAGAGTATTTTTATTTTTTAAGGTTACTAATATTTTTAAATAATTTATAATTATTTAAGTAAAGAAATTATATTAAAATCTATATATTTTATAAATATAAAAGCATATATTAAGCGCTTTATATAATGCTAAATAAGGTATTATTAATAACTAAGTATAATTATCTTTAATTAAGGCTTAAATTAAGTAAGTTAGTTTTAAAAGTATATTTATTAATTATTATAAATTAATTAATAGCTTAATATTATATTTTACTTAAAAATAAATAAAAAATTAAAAAGGATAAATTAGGAAATTAAGGCTTATTTATTAACTTTTATTAATTAAAATTAAAAAAATTAAGTAAAATAAATATTAATAATATAAATAATATTAAATAATTAAGTAAATATTAATATAAGAATATTAGCCTTTTTTATAACTTATAGTTATTAACTTAATTTTATTATTTTAATATTTAAAACTATTAAATAAGAAACTTATTTAATTACCTTATTAAAAGAAAAAGTAAAGGCATTTATAAAAAAGCTTTAATAAATCTTAAACTTATATTAAGCTATTATAATATTTATTATATAAACTTAAGAGTTTATAATAAATTACAAGAAAACCTTATAATATAATTTTAAGTAAAAAACTTAATTTAAGTAAACTTAAAGAATTATAAGTTTTTTTAATATAAAAAGAAACTTAATTAAAAGCATATAAAATTCTATATAAAATGCATAATATTTTCTTTAATTATAAAAATATTTAAATTTTTAAATAAAAGGCATGCTAAGATTTATATAAAACTATTATAATATATTGCTTTAAACTTATTATTTAATTAAATTTAAAAGAATTCCTAGCTATTTATAATAATAATTAATAAGCACTAAGAGTACTTAATAAAAAAGTTGCTTTATATATGCTTAAAGCAAATAAATAAGGGATTTAGGAAAAAGAGCTTAATAAAATAAGTAAGGTATAAAGAACTTAATTAAATTAACTTAAAAAACTTAGTAAATATTATAGCTTAAAATAACTTTAAATATAAATATAAAAACTTATAAAGAGCTAATAAGCTTTTAAATAATTATATAATATATAATTATTAATAAAAAGGGAGCAAATTATAATGTAGGTAATTAAAAAGGAATGTAAGGAAATAAAGGGGGGGATAATATATTTAAGTATATCCCTTTTTTAAGGGATATTAAGAATATATTTAATGCTAGGAAAAATAAAAGAGAAAGAAAGAAAGAATAAAAAAGGTAAAATTTTAAATAGGGTTAAGAAAAATTTAAAATTTAAGGATAATTTTATAGTATTTAAATAAAGAAAATAAAACCTATAGCAATAAGAAAATGGAATTTACTTTTATATGCTCTTTACTTTTAAAGAAAATAAAGCATAAAGAAATAAGGTATATATTTATAAAAAATAAGGTATAGGCCTTATTAATTAATTAAGGAAAATATAAAAGGCAGCCCTTAAAGGAATAATTTATAGCAATAATATAAATATATTAAATTTTAAGGGAAAACAGCGGATTTTTAGGGATATCTTTATAATATTTAAAATAATAATAAAGTAAAATATAAAGATAAGAAATCCTTTTCTCTTAATTTAAAAGCATTATTAATTTATAAATTAATTAATTAAAACTTAAGCTACTTAAATCTAGAATTTAAATAAAAACCTATAAAAACTTAATAAAATATATTAAAAAAGTCTTAGTTATTAATATTAATATATTAAACTATTAAGTTAATAAAGTAAATAAAGTTATAATTATTATTTTTATTAAAAAATATTTAAAAATTAAGGGAAAAACAATTTATAATAGGAAAATACTTATTTTCTTATACTTTAATATAACGCGGTATATAGCGTAAAGCTTCTTAAAGTAAGCATTTTAAAAAAGTTAGTAAATTTTAATAATCCTTCCTTAAAAATTAATAAAAATCTTATTATATAAATTTTAATAACGTTAATGCCATTATTCTTAAGCTTTTTTTAATAAATAAGAATAAGTAAGGGAATTATATTATAAGTAATTAAAAATATTAGCTGGATTTTAATAGTTTTTTTATGAAAATTATATGCTTTTTCTTTTAATAATTATTATAAGCCTTTAAAGTTTAGCCATTCTTATTAATAACGGAATTATAGTTATAGCTATTAAAAAGATAGGAAAAATACTTATATTAATTTCTTTAAGAAAATATTAAGAAATTAAATAAAAATTATTAAAAATTATAAGAATTAAAAACTTACCTAATTCTTAAATTTAGCTAAATAAATAATAATAAATAGTATAATAAATAATAAGTTTTTAATTTTAAGGATTATTAATTTTTAATTAAAAAGCTTTAAATATTAATTATTAAGGGTTGAAAATTATAATTTTAGGTTTAGGGTATTTACTTAATTTATATATTATTAATAAAAAGAAAGAAAGGAGCGGAAAGTAATAGTTTTAATAAATATTTATAGTTGCAAAAAGGGCCTTATAAATAGGTTTTTACTATTTATGAATAATTTTTCACTGCCTTTTAATATAATAAGTAGAATTTAAAAAAAGGGTAGAAAAGGGGTAATGTAATAAGTATAACTTATTAAGATAAGGGTTTTAGGTTTTAGCTTAAAACTTAAGGTTTTTAATATTTTATTATTAAAATTTAGGCAATTTAGCTTTTATACCTTTTCTTTCTTTCTCTTTATTTAATTAAGCTTAGCTATAATAATATTTAGCGTTTGCAATACATAAACCCATTATAAAATATATAAAAATTTTGTAATTGAATAATTAAGCCTTTTTTAATTAATAATAATAAAAGTATTATTATTTAATTTATAAACCTTAAATTAATTAATTTTAAATTTATTTTTAAAAATAATTTCTTTAAAGTTTTAAGTTATATAATATATATTTTAATTAAAGACTTTTTAAAAAACTTCTTAAATAAATATATAAATAATATTTATATATTTAAAGTAAATATATATATATATATATATATATATATATATTAATAAAGTATTAATATAAAAGCTTTCCTTTTATATATAATATAAATAATTAATAATACTTTTTAAAACTTAGTTATAAATAAAGGATTTCTTAGCATTATTTAAGTAAATTATAAATTATATATTAAATTCCTTTAATTATATATATTTAAGGAAGTAATATAAAAATATTATTATAAATCATTTAAATAATGAATAAATTAAGAATATAATAAGCTTTTTAAAAATTATTTATTATAATTAATTATTATTATATATTTAAAAAGTTAAAGTTAAGTTTATAAATTACAATATTATTTTAATAAATATTTAAGCTTATAATTTATTAAAGCTTATATAATTAGCAAAGGTATAATATATATAAAATAAGGGTATAAAAGAATATAAAAGAATTATTATTATATTTTTATTAACTTGCTTAATTACTTTAAATATAAGCTATTTTTAATAAAAAGTTATTTTATATATATCTTTTATTAAGGCTTATAAAATATTTATAAGATTTTAAATTATTAATTTATTAATATATATTAATAATTAATTAGCTAATAATTAAGTAATAATTAGTTAATATAAAATTTTATTTAAGTAAGCTAAAGGGCTAGCTTATAAATTAAGAATAATTAAAAAGGTACTTAGGAATATATAGTTTTTTTATTTAAATTATATAAGATTTTAAAAATTTGCTTATATAAGCTAATTATATAAGCATATAATATATTTTTATATATTAATATTAATTATTAATATTATAAATATATAGGCTTTAGCCCTTTAGCCCTTATAATTATAAAGTTATTAAAGAAATAAGTTTTTTTTTCTTATATATATTTAAGCTTCTTTATTTATTTATATTACATAAGATTTATTTATAAGGGATATTTATATATTATTATAAAACTTATCCTTTATAGTATTACGTAAGTATAATTTATTACGTAATACTACTTATAAGGCAAACCTTCTTTATATATACTTTCTTTTTAATTTTATTTACTTATTTCTTTATTTTAAAAGAATGGCTCTTGTAAGCTTTAGAAAAGCTATCTACATAATATATAATAATTAAAAGAAATAAATCTTAGGACTTGCTAAGTTAATATAGAAAAGGGGTATATATATAAATAATTAAAGTTAGTTTAAGGAGCTGCTGCTTAAGGAGCATATCCATGATTAAAATGTTGCTAGCACGCTGAGAGATATGGAGGTCTTCCCAGACTAGGCAACAGAAATCTGAGAAGTGTCTAGATATTAATACCGATGTCACAAAAATGGTATTGAGTTAGTCTCGCTCACCCCATTGCAGTTTATCTTCTCCAGGTTCCGCACGCTAATAAGTACAGTTTGTAGAGCCTACCCCCTAGGAATGTGCTTTTATCGATCTGAGTCTACTCATGAGGACGAAGGCTTCTCAAGAATCAATCAAAGAAGTACGGCGGCCGCCCTTGCCTCTTCTCATCAGGTTGAAGTCTCGCAATGTCATCCTTGAACGTTTCCCATAACCTAGAGTTGGGAGAGATGGTTACTGCGATTCTCTCCCTTGCCCTAGCGTTCTCAGCCTCGTCATAGGGCCCACTCTCGGGATCTTGTCCTGCGAGTTTGTAATGGTCGATGACTTCTGGCCAGGTGTTGTCTGTGATCACGTCCTTGCGGCGAGGACGTGGGCCATTTGGGATGTCGTGACGATGTTTGAAGATATGGTACTTTGTTCGTGCATCGTATGCGTCCCAACGCCATTTGTTCTCTGAAGTAACTTCGATCGGAAGAGGACATCGATCATAGTCTGGGCTCTCTGATAGAAACAATTCGACGATGTCCTTAAACTGTGCTTCTGTTGGAGGAGCAATGGTGGTGTAACGTGGATTGTGTACATATACACCATTGCACTATAAAATGTTTCAGCTCGCTGGTCAGTGATTTCTTTATATAGTGACGCGGCTGTAAACCCACCTCCTTCTCACTCTCGCCCCGGTCAAAGAGGACAACACCGCCGAAAAGCTGCATTTCAGCCCAATATCCAGCCATATCAGCTAGACCGTTTGGATAATGTGACCAGTCGATGTAGGCACCGGTCCAGAAAAGTGTGGGCGGGGGCAACTGCTTCCTCCCCATCACGTCATCTTCTGGGAGGGTTTCAAGCTTGTGTTCCCGCCACGCTTCATGTTCTGCGTGCTTGTGAACTCCGTCGTCCATTTGAAAAAGGTAGACCGCGATATCGTGGCATGCAGTGGTGACAAGTTCAAGTAGTCGTAGCTTCCACGTGGTAGTACCCGGCAATGCGGTCTGGTACGCCTGGATAGTCTGCTTGATCAACGTTAGCGAAGAGTTCAACAGAATATATATCGGATGGTAACTGGCATTTGACTCAAATTGGAAAGCAAGTATGTCCAAGCTTGAACGGAAAGCTTGCGTTTTTTCGATAGAGCCGGGACACAGATTCTTATGTTGCATCACGGGTAAACCATCCCTGAAGGAATGATCATCCGCATAAACGCTGCTGGTCGGTTGGCCGTCGACAATTTGAGCAAATGTGAACTCGGCCAGAGGTGTGGAAAGGACATTAAATAAAGCTCGACGAAAAGCCTGGAGATGCTCTACGTCCAGGTCCTCCAGAGACAACATGTTTTCTCGATTGTTTGAGAACTAAATGAGCCGTGTAGCTTGGCGTCTGTTGCGACTGCTATGCCGAGTTTACTGCTTTTGGTAAGACGAGGAAGTAAAGAGATCCAAAAGAGTGGACACTTAATGTTGGTTTTAATGGCACAGTATCGCAAATGGTGGTTGGAATGGGAGTGGATGAACGCAGTTCAAATCTCATCTTTTTTTAGATCAGCCGTGGATACTGCGGCTGCTATGGCCCGAGGCCCGGGCCACGGGGAGCCCCTCAATTTGCCGCCGCAGCGACTATTGGGCCGTGGCTTTGCAATGGTACACCCGCCCGAGGCTCCCTATCCACATAACGGTGCGGCCAACACAGATCCCCAAGAGGGCTTAGCCTCATGCGGGTCGTCGACCGTGGGGCCCTAGATGGTTTCAAAGGATGGCGTTGGAGGTCGTGTCACTATTCTTCTCCACCCTCACAATGCATGTTGTTCTGAGCAACCTCTGGGATCCCCGTTCCCGTCTTCCCGAACAAGACCGCCATGGCACCACATTGTGGCCGTCCTGCAGGCGCGACCTGAAAGGCCTTGTTTATTCTTAGATTGACATGAGCGGCGAGGTTTGGACTAAGACTACAAACATGTATATAAGGACAAGAAACTGAAGTGCTGACTCTAACAGACTGTCGAAGTAATCACGTCTCACTAAACTATTCTGTTATATTTCCCTGTCCGTTCTCACTCTGTTTCTGAATTGTGTTATACCAGCTGTGTCATATTTAATCTGCATTTCGCGTGAAATCAGTCATCTTTAAAAGCTTTGCAATCAAAATGGGAAACAGCGATACAAGAAACCCCGTCAAAAAAGCCAGCCCAGGCACATCTCAACAGCCATCCGCTGGTAATGCATCCAAGCCCTCGGCGGCTGCGAACACACCTAGGCCCTCGTCCGCTGGCAATGCATCCAATGCCTCGACGACTAGGAACGCACCTAAACCCTCGTCCGCTCACAGCGCTCCTGGACCCTCATCCGCTGGTAACGCGCCCCGCCCCTCTACTGCTAGAAATGAGCATCGGCCTCCATCTAGCGGCGGCGATGATGATCATGCCCAATTTGATCTCACAGAGTTTTCTCTGAGCTATTATGACGCGGCTGGCACTTGCAAGCCTTACCCGCCAAGCAGCCGAGAATTTGTTCTTGTAAGAGAAATGTCACTGTCCATGGTCATGTCTATATGAGCCATAAGTGCACTCGAGTGCTGGTTATGTCCTGTTCAAAGACTAACAGTGCACAGGTGGCAGACACTTACAGGATCGGTCTCGAGCTTCTGGGCAGATCCGACGTTGAGCCGTACCTAATCGAGCTCGGAAACCGATGCGTGCAAGCGTGGAAAGATCCCGAGAATGCAAAGCAGTACAGAAACTATCAGTGGCCAGGAAACATTTCAAATATGAGGGACTACGTTCAAAGGTTTTTGACTGGCTTCCGCAAATCACCTCCAAGGATTATTGTCGATTCTTCGTTGGGCAGCGTGTTTGCAAATACCGTTAAGGATGCGGGCGCTGGTTATACTGGTACCCTTGAAAACCTCCGCCCTAAAGATCTTGTTCACTTTGAGCTTAATAGCAAGGTATGTGGATTTCCTCAGAGTGAACTCAATTGGGGTTACTCGCAGTCCACGCTGACCTTTTGTTCTTGATGCTGTATCAGCTCGTGGAGAGTATGAAGAGGAATGACAGCAACTTCCTAGCCCCATGGGATCCTAAGGTGACTCACAAGCCAAGCGACTACGACAGAAAGATCCAGCTGCAGGATGACCGTTGGCAAACTCTACGGTTTGTCGCCTCGATCACCTGGTTCCACGAGTTTTGCCACGCCTTTGTGACTTTCTTGGCTGGGAACAACTACGCCGATACCCCGCCTGGCGTCACCAATGCAGCCTTCCAAGATCCCGAAGATACTGCAGGAGAAAGCGGGTTCTGGACTGAAACACGAGCGTTCGCTGGATGTGCATTGATGGATCCATCCACCCCTAACGGCGATCCTGAAGAGGTAAACCTGCAAATGAACTTTTCATTACACCAAACCACTGACGTCGAGTTCCTTAGGCTGTGAGGGTATACCTCGTCAACGACAATGATGATTGCCGAGACGTCAATACGAGAACAATGAGGGAGATGATGACACACCCGAAAAGTATGTGATGAAGCCTTGTGGCGGATCATTGCTAATACTGCTGCAGGTTACAATCTCAAGAATGGCATTAAGACGGTCAAACCCTGGAAGAGGACGAAAAACAACAATTCACAGTCCAGTCATACGGTTGGTGCGGGTCCTAAATCACGAGTGGGAATAGCAGCTTGTAAGAAATCTGGATGTTGGGACCTTCGGTTCATACGTGGAAGGGGCGAGCGAATTCGTGTGGAGGCTGTCGCTAGCAAAGCTTAGACAGATTATCGTCCGTAGGAGCAGGTCTTCTACAGCGTGGCGGTTGAACATGCTCGAAAGTCAAAGCTGTTGATTCACTAAATTACTGTGTATACTGATTGAGACTGATAGTATCTCATTCTAACACTTGAATTCATCAGTAAAGAGCGTCACAGTGAATTTATAAAATCTTACTAATGAGAATACTATTATACGAAATGATTATAAAACTGCTTTGAACTGATCCAGTATGTTACAGACTGGGCTCGGTAAGTCAGGCAGCTCTGCCTTGCCATGCCATAGTCTAGCTTCAGTAGAACTTGCTTGCTTATTTGGACGAGGTGCAGCTTTCCAGCCAGGTGGATCAAGTGCCCTACCAGCCACAGACGGACGCCAGGGTCAGGCTGATCACCAAGGAAGTAGTTGGTACTTGTGCTCCTGCAAGTCAGCCATGGTCCTTTTCATTCACTAGTTGGTTTTAAATCCAGCTCTGGGAAGATACCTTGGGTGGACCCATAATTACCAATGGCAATATCGTGGTGGATAATCAGTCTGGGACCAGAAGGCTATGTTTCAAGAGCGTTTCGCCTAAATATTCGACTTGGAGCGACTTGTTTGCTTTGAACCCTATTGTCATAGCCGCTACTGAAGTGACGTTGAGCAGCTTGGCCATGCTCGATCTTGAATGTCACTCGGCCTCTTTGACTCAATATAGCGTGTTTGTTAAAGAATCAAAACATCCGATATTCTATTCAGTAAACTGTGTGGCTAAAGTCTCAAGAGTTTTTCTATCTCATAAATATATAAAAGAAATCTTATCCCTTGTAAGGTGCATGGGCTATACCCTTGAGGAGCGCCTTAAGTTGCAGCGCGACTTTCTTTGAGTGGAATCTTGAGAACGGCAGATATCCGATCATGATTTATAGATTTGGCATGCCTGACTCCTTATATACCGATTTTAGTTTGCCTTTTTCGTTCATACCCTAGATAGGGCCATATCGGTCCGCAATAGCGTTACCTAGGGTGTTCCGCATTGAATTGATGGTGTTTGAGAAGCCGGTAGCGAATACGATAAGGTTGTAATGCTCCTCATGGCCGCCCGAAAGAATGACATTATCCTCCGTGAACCTCTTAATGTAGCCTTGTGCCATCTTAATCTTGCCGTTGATAATCTGCTCACACGCACCGGCCTCGAAATAAAAGCCACCGTTTCGGGTTGAGCCGAGAGTGGCGTTACCGGTACCCCGTTGGCCCCGGTAGGTCTTGAAGCCCCTGGCGTGGAGGCCGTCGAGCAGGTCCTTGTCAAGCCTCTCCAGGACCTCAGCGTTCCGCCTGCCGAGCTCCTCGCCTGGGCCAGTGGGTGTGGCGAAGGCCACACGGTCAGCCTCCTCGATGTCTGGTCGCTTTCCGTTCTTAGGCTCGTAGCCGCCGATGGCTCGAGGTACGGAATGAGTTAGGGACATGACGTAGGTAGGGGACCGCTGTAGGAGGGTGACGTCGATGTCCCGTCGGGCACTGTCGTAGGCGGTATCCATGCCAGAGGATGAGGTCCCAATAACGAGGACTCGCTTGCCGACCCACTCAGGAGATGAATCGTGGGTAGTAGAGTGACGGTAGACGCCACCCTTACATTCGGTCATGCCGGGGATGACTGGGGTGGTTGGGACTCCACAGAGTGATGTAGCCATGACAAGGTGCTTAGGCTTAAGGGTTCGACTCTCCTTGCCACCCTTATTGACTTGCACAGTCCAGCTACCGTCAGACGCATCTTGGTCGGCTTTGACGACTGTAGAGCTAGTCCAAACGTGCAGTTCCAGCGCAGATGCGTACCATTCCATGAAGAGACCCATCTTTTGAGCAGGAGTGTAGGTGGGCCACTGTTCGGGATAGGGGAAGTATGGGAAGTGGTCGGCCCAGTGAGGGAAGTGGAGAGAGAGGTATTCATAGCGCTTCCTCCAGATCTCGCCAATAATGTCGGATTTCTCGATGATCAGGGCAGGGACTCCCAGGGCCTTGAGGTGGGCGGCGAGCATCAAACCGCTGTAGTGACAAGGTCAGCATTAGAGGTTCCTTGTTGCCCTGAGGAAGGAAGTAAACAGCTCACTTTTGGCCACCACCGACAATTACAACGTCTGGCATGACTTCATCATCGTCCTTCTCACGTTGCTTCTCCCAGCTGATGGGACCGGTCTGGTGGCCATCTCTTGGCCCGACTGGTGGGAACTGGAGGAGACTCTCTATGACCGTGTGTACAGTCCACAGGCGCCAGCCCTCGGTGGTCTGAACAGCGTGGACCACCGCATGGGAGCTTACCACCTCGGTGTCGAAAGACACCGCGAACTGTAGGTATGAAAGGTCGGGGTACGGCCTCTGAATATTGGGGAGGGGGGTTATGAATTGGAAGTTTTTGGCATGGGTAATGGGGAGCAGATCCCTGGCGGCTTTGGCAATGTTCTCGCGGAAGTTAAAGGTTCGGTAGTCCCATGTGAAAGTGAGCTTGTCACGCCAGACACCTGGTTATAAGTTAGCAAAGACCAACAAATACGCGCCATGGAGAAAAACACTGACCGTATTCGATGAATAGATCCGCAAACTCCTGGGCTTTTCCGTTGCCTAGAATCTCCGAAAGCTGGGCTACAAGGTCCTTGGCGACCTTGGTGGCATCGACATCATGCGCAATGGCAACACCGAGAGCGTCGTGGGTGGGAAGGCGGTGGTTGTATTGGAAGTCATATATGTAATCATCGGCAAGTGGCGACGGGGAATGCTGGACTTGGACCTTGCTGTCGACAACCTTTGCCTCAAGACCGTTCAGGATCTTGCTAGCGGCCCGGGCCTTAAGGTCGGCTGTATGGGCGCTGACGGCGTGGGTGGGAGAATCAAAAACTGCTGTGGGAGCCATGGTGTACAGATAACTGCCCTGGAAGCTTGTGATGGAAGGTTTGTCTGTTGAGGGTGTGAGTATAATGCAAAGTCGAGCTTGGGATGGGCGTTTTATGTCGATTAGTCGTCGAGAGGTTCGCAGGTAGATAGTAAGTCCTCCATATGTTTGCACCTCGCGAAAATCGGCCGAAAATAGAGGTTTTCGGAAAGCTGCGACGCTTGATCAGGCGAGTCTGGCTCGACTTTTATCCCCGACATCGCGGCGATGGGCCCGGGGCGTATCGACTCAACGAGGAGGGCGGGATTCAGTCAACCTGATGTGCGTATGGAGGAGGACTCAATACCAGTCCGGCCATACTTCCACAGCATGTAGCTTGTGATGTGCCTGGGTACGTATCAGGGGATGTAACTCGCGACGTACCCAGTACCCAGGTGGATGCCTTCGTCAACCTTGCTTGGGCGATCTTGGCATATGGATCTCTTAATTATAACTCTACGTCAGCCGCAGTTCATGCAAAACCTGGACACGACACGACTTCCCCCGCATCCCACCCCTACGCTCGACAACACTAAATCACGCACAAGATCGAACGCACGCGACTTGCCAACACTGGGCATGAATCGAGACCCTGACAAGGGCAAGGAGCATGCTCGGGTCAACTACTACTTCAAGGAGTTCCGTATGGTCTCCTCAATGTGGCCTATGCTTCCCGATGCCATGAACTATTGATATAGGGGTTGAGGGAATGTTTTCATAGGAGGTGTCCCACCGGCGAACACCTTTTCTCAACGCAGACACTACCAAAGAAGGTCCCGGGGGAGAGTTTCCTGTGTTTTTCCCAAAGCCTGAGGTAAGTGTTCCCGGGTGGGCTGTAGTTGTTCCCGGATGAAAGGAAGTGTTTCCGCTTTGAAGGCAGGTCCTTCTGGTCGCACTGCAGCTCTTTCCGTCGGGATTGTGAGGATACCAGCCGGGGTAGGTCGTCACTACGTCGGTCAAGTTTTTGGAGAATATGCATATATCGGGTCTTTGAGGTAATAATAAGTGGCCCTGCTGAAATCCGGGGTATGCGGGGCCCCATGGCGCTATGGCCACCCCCAAGAACAGCCTAGTCCAAACTCGTCCAGGCCCAGGCTGGAAGCGCGGCCATGGCTACCAGAACAGTTTATATACTGGGATCAATCTCGTCTGCCAGTCTCTCTCCAGTAATTAAACTCAGCCTCAACAACTCTCCTTCCTCCTAGACTTGTGTTCCGCAAAACGAGCTATCAGCATTATTTCAGAGGGTCATCAATCCAACATGGACGGAAAAGATTTGAAAGACGTTGACGCCGCATCCCACATTGAAAATGCTGTGAAGCCAACGGTCCAATCCGGCACCCTTATTGTGAGCATAATACCACCTGACCTCGGTAACGCACTGTGGCTCGTGGTGGGCATTGCCTGACAATCGTACGTTTAGGACGAGAATCTGGTACGAGCCGAGAACGAAGACAACCTACCAGGGGGAGGGGGGTCTTTGTATGGGTCACGCAATGCAATCATGTTTTGAGATCTAAATAAAATTTTAAAATTACAATGCAATACTAGCAAAATACTATTAAAATATTATTAAAAATAAATTATATTAAGGCTTTAAATTATATTAATATTAACTTTATATTAAAATTAATTTTATATTAGCTAATATTAATATAAATTTATATTAAGAGCTTTGATTTAAATCTTAATAATTTTAAACCTATTTTTATTTTTAAAAATCTTTATAATTATATAAATCCTTTTATAATAAATAAATAAGCTAATAAAAAATAAATAAATAGTTGGGTTAGGGATAAGAAAAAAAAGCTCTTTTTTTTATCTCTTATATTAAGAATTAATATCATATCACAGCATATTAAGAATAACTATATATTAGTAATGTATAAATAATGCAAGGCATATAAAAAAATATACTATCAAAGCCTTAACAGCATGTTACTATTATGTCACTATTCTATTAACTTGGTCGCAGCACGTAAACAAAACCCCCCCTCCCCCCTGGTAGGAAGATCACTCCATACTTTATATTCCCTCATCTCCGTCGCTGCCATTGCCCGCTTCCTCTTCGGTTATGATACTGCCATCATCAGTTCGGCCCTGCCGATGGTAGGGACGGATCTCGGCCATGTACTCAACGCCCAGGAGCAAGAAATCATCACGGCCGGTACCACCATCGGTGCCAAAGATTTCCTTATTATAAAGAATTATATAGCTTTAATATTTTATAATTCTCCTTAATATATTATATTATATAAGGTATATAATATAAATTATATAGCTAAAATTATCTTAAGTATTATAAGGATATCTTTATTTATTATATAATAATTAAAAGTATTACGGTTTGGGCTTTGCCCATTGTAATTATTTAGCAGGCTTTAGCCCTATAAGAATAAGCTTTGGAATAAATGCAAATAGGGAGCAAATCTCTTCCTTTATACTTTAAATATAAACCTTATTTAAGCACCTTATAGCAAATAACTTAAAGTTAGCTTTATTATGAGCTAGCCTTAGGTTATTTGTTGTAAGGTGTTTAAATGGGGTTTATATTTAAAGTGCAAAGGAAAAGGTTTACTTTTTATTTATATTTACGCTAAAGCCTATTTTTATAAGGCCAAAGCCTATTAATTAATTATAATAAGCAAAGCCTAAACCATAATATATCCTCTTTTTTTAAATCTTTATAATAAGCCTTAAAAGGTAGCTATATAATAAAAAATAAAGGATATTATAATTTAATTATAAATTAAATATTACTCTTTATTTAGCCATTTAATTATACCTTAGTATTTTTTAATTATATTAAAGGCTTAGCTTATTATTTATAATTAGCATATCTTAGCCTTTATAATTTAATATATTAATTAAAGTAAGTTAATAAAAAATAATTATTTAAGTATAAGCTAATAATTAAGTTAATAACATTTTTATAATCCTTTAATATAAGCCTTTTATATAAACTTCCTTATTTAAAACTTTAAAATTATAAATTTATTATATAATTTATAATTAATTAACGCTTAATTATAAGTAATTTACTTTATTAACGGGAATTTCCTAAATTTTAAGTATTCTTATAAAGCTAAATTAATTAGCATATAATTAATTTGCTTTAAGTTTAGGCTAGCGCTAAGCTAGCATTATTTTTAAGCCTTATCCTATAAAAAAAATTTTACACCCCCTTAAATAAACTCCTTTTCCTTATTAACCTTAATTAATAAAAACTATATTCTTATTTTTTTATAATAATTAAAATAATTATGCTTATAATAATTAAGTTAATTATATGCAAAATACTTAACTTTGCTTATTAAAATTATTATAATATTAATATTTATTACTTTATTATTTTAAAATTAAGTATTATTTTTTCTTATTATAATATTAAAAATACTTTTATATTATTATAAGGCAAAGCAAAAAGCCTTAAATATATTTAACTATTCCTTATAATTAAATTAAGCTTTTATTATAAAAATTAAGCTATTAGCTATTAATAATATTTTATATTTATTTAATTAATTTTAAATCTTTATTATATAAATTAATTAATTAAATTAAGTAAAAAATTTTATTATTCCCTTTTTATAATATTATTATAATATAATTAAGTTAAGCTTAATATACCTTTGCTTAAAAAAATTCTTAAGCGTAAAGTAAACCTTTTTTAAAAAGCTTTTTAGCTATTTCTTAAATATTTTTATAAAATTAATATAAAGTAAAAAGTAATTATAAAAAGTTTTTAATTAATTAAATATATAAAAAAATTAAGTCCTTTTAATGCTAATTACCTTCTTATTTATTATAAATTTAGCCCTTATCTTTATTAATTAAGTTATTAAGTATTTTTAAGATAAAAGTTTCTTTAAATAAAAAAAGGCTTAATAAGCTATTATTATTCTTTTTAAGTCTTATTATATTAAGTTTTATATAATTATATTATAAATTTATAATATAAGAAAACTTTAAATATATATTATAAATTAACCTTGGATTATTTATCGTAAGGTATTTAAATAAGGTTTATATTTAAAGTATAAAGGAAAAGATTTACTTTTTATTTATATTTATGCTAAAGCCTATTTTTATAGGGCTAAAGCCTATTAACTAATTATAATGGGCAAAGCTTAAATCATAATAAGCTTATAATATATATTTAAAGTTTTCTTGCATTATAAACTTATAATGCCATTATATAAAACTTAATATAATAAGATTTTAAAAAAATAATAATAATTTATTAAGCCTTTTTTTATTTTAAAAAACTTTTATTTTAAAAATACTTAACAACTTAATTAATAAAGATAAAGGCTAAGTTTATAATAAATAAAGAAGTAATTAATGCTAAAAAGGCTTAATTCTTTTATATATTTAATTAATTAAGAATTTTTTATAATCAATTTTTATTTTATATTAATTTTATAAAGATATTTAAAAGGTATTTAAAAAGCTTTTTAAAAAAAGTTTGCTTTATATTTAAGAATTATTTTAAGTAAAGGTATGCTAAGCTTAACTTAATTATATTATAATAATATTATAAAGAAAGAATAATAAAATTTTTTATTTAATTTAATTAATTAGCTTATATAATAAAGATTTAAAATTAGCTAAATAAATATAAAATATTATTAATAATTAATAACTTAATTTTTATAATAAAAGCTTAACTTAATTATAAAAAATAATTAAATATATTTAAGGCTTCTTATTTTACTTTATAATAATATAAAGGTATTTTTAATATTATAATAAAAAAAGATAATACTTAACCTTAAAATAATAAAGTAATAAATATTAATATTATAATGATTTTAATAAGTAAAGTTAAGTATTTTATATATAGCTAATTTAGCTATTATAAGTATAATTATTTTAATTATTATAAAAAAATAAAGATATAGCTTTTATTAATTAAGATTAGCAAAGGAGAGGAGTTTATTTAAAAGAACGTAAAATTTTTTTATAAGGTAAGGTTTAAAACGTGCTAGCTTAATGCTAGCTTAAGCTTATAATAAGCTAGCTATATATTAATTAATTTAACATTATAAAATGCTTAAAATTTAAGAATTTCCTATTAATAAAGTAAATTACTTATAATTAAGCGCTAATTAATTATAAATTATATAATAAATTTATAATTTTAAGGTTTTAAATAAGAAAGCTTATATAAAAGGCTTAAACTAAAGAATTATAAGAATGCTATTAATTTAGCTGCTAACTTATGCTTAAATAATTATTTTTTATTAGCTTAGTTTAATTAATATATTAAATTATAAGGGCTAAAGATATCTTAATTATAAAAAATAAGTTAAGCTTTTAATATATTTAAAAGGCATTAAGGCATAATTAAATAACTAAGTAAAGAGCAATATTTAATTTATAATTAAACTATAATATTCTTTATTTTTTATTATATAGCTACTTTTTAAGACCTGCTATAAGGATTTAAAAAAGGAAAATATATTATAATTTAGGCTTTGCTCATTATAATTAATTAGCGGGCTTTAGCTTTATAAAAATAGGCTTTAGCGTAGGTGTAAATAAGAAGCGAATCTCTTCCTTTATACTTTAAATATAAACCTTATTTAGGCACCTTACGGCAAACAATAAAGGGTTAGCCTATAATAAAAAGCTAAATTTAACAGCTATTATAATGCTTTTTTATTTATAATTTATAAATTATATAATTTATTTTTCTTTTTAAAAGGTTTTTCTTTATATAATAAAAGGTAAGTTTTAAATTCTTTATTTTTTATTGTTAATCTTTAATTTAAGTTTTTATGTACTTAAAAGTATTACCTTTTTACTTTATTTTTTTTATTTAAATAATTTATTAATTAATATTTTCTTATGTATATAAAATATTTCTTTAATTCTTATATTATATAAAAAGGTTTGAAATTTATATAAAGGGGTTAAGTTTATAATTTTATATAAATTAAAAATTATAAGGTAAACTATTTTTTATTATATAATATCCTTTAACAGGTTTTAAAGTTTAAATTATATAAATAATAATATTAATTTTTTTATAATTTATAATTTTTAATAATAATTAATAAAGATTTATACCTTATTATAAAGAAGGTTATATAATTTATTAACATAATTTTAATCATTTTTCTATTTTTTTTAAAAAAGGTAAAAATTAATTAAGATTTAATTAATTTATTATATATTATTTAGCTTATATATATACTCTTAATAAATTATATCCTTTTTTTTAATAATTTATAATAGCTTTTTTTAAATATATAATTTATTTAATTAAATTAAAAAAATATCCATTTTTTAAAATTATTTATTATTATTTATTAAAAATTTAAGTATATTATTCTTACTTAAATTAAGGTATATAATATTTATCATTACTTATATAAAATATATATTAATTTATTTACTTATAAATAATTATTTTAAGTTAATTTCTTAATTTTAATATTAAGAATTTATCTTTATTTACTATATATTTAATAAAATTATATTATTAATACTTATTTCCTTATATATAATTAAATTTATAAGTTAAGTATTTAATTTAATAATATATTATTTTTTAAATATATTTATAAATAATATAATAAATAATTATTATAGTTTATTATTTTATAATAATATATATTTTATTTTTTTTAATTATATAAAATCCTATTTACTTTTACGTTTTAATTAATATTTTATAATATAAATTTAAGTTATATAAATAAATTAAATTTTATCTTTTAATAAGTATTTTATTTTAATTAATTGGAAAATAAAGGGTTTTTTTTTTAAGCTATAATATAAATATATAGCTTTAGCTATTTTTATATTTTAATTAATATATAGTAAAGATTATTAAAAAAACTATATAAATACTTATTTCTTTACTTTTATTAATTTATAATTATATTAAGTAATTATTAATTAATATTAAATGATCTTTATTATATAGTTAATATATATATATTTATATAATTATATAATTATATTTATACTTATTATTATCTTTAGCTAATTATTAAAATAATGGCTTTTGCAAGGTAGCTAGATAAGGCCATTATATTAGTGAAACGGGATAACTAAGCCCATCCTATTAAGGGGATAATATACGGTTTAATGGAGTATTATTCCAACATATAATATTTAAATAAAGCTTTTTTAGGTTTTAAATAATTAATAAATAATAATTTATAATGAAATAACTCTTTTTTAATTAAATAAGATTTAAGGGGTTTAAATTTAAATGTTAATTTATTTTCTTTTTTATTTATATGTTTTTTAGTTTTTTTATTTAGCTTTTTAAATATATTTTTATTTTCTTGAAAATTCATGCTATTATTAATATTATTTTCATAATTTTCATTATTTAAATCAAATTTCTTAGCGTAGCGTATATTAAAAGACGTGAAAGATTTAATAATAAAAGATGAAAAAGAATTTATTTTATTAATATTTTAAAGTATTAATCTTTATTTTAAATAAAAATTAATTATAATAGTATATTGCATAATAATTAATAATATTATAATATATAAGTTGTTTTTTTAACTTTAAGAAAAAAAAAGATGAATAAAAGAAATAAATATATTTATATTATTTTATTAATTATTTTATTAATTATCTTATTAATTATCGTATTAATTATTTTATTAATATAAACTTTATATTATTATAAAACTTAAACTTTATTATATTTATAAAAATTAAATAAAGTTTATTTTAATAAAAGTTCCTTTTAATATTTTATTTAAAATATTTTTTAAATTACATTAATATTTTGCATCTTATATATATATATATATTAAAGAAACTTTATATATATATATTATATAAATTTATATATTTCTAACTTTAATAATAAATTTATAATTAAAATCGATATCGTTTTTAAAATTAAATTTAATTTGTTTAAAATTAAATTATGTAATTAATAATAATAATAAAATTTAAAAATTGTTTTTAAAACGGAAAATTTAATAAAATATTCAGTATATATAAAAAAATATAAAAAGAAATTAATAAAAAATGTTTAAATTTTCGATAAAATTATTGCAATTCAAATTTTGTAAAAAATATCATTGTTTTTATATCAATTTTATTGCCTCCCCTTGATTTGTGAGGTGAGACATATCTTCGGGCCTTTCCGCCACGAATTGGCTGTAGGATCCGTCTCCGTGATGGAGCCCAGCAAACAATCCAGGATGCTGTAGCGAAGCCATCGAGATGATATCGAGCCCTGAAGGAAGATCAACTGACTCTGCATTAAAGCAGCGTTTAATGTCAGCTAGGATGTCACTCATTGGTATGGCATAAACATCTCCGAAGACATCATCTGCAACGACGTGGCCGTAGACTTCAAGACGCAGCTCGTCGACGACCCAGGAGCGGGAGTCACCGTCGCTGACTATAAGTAGCACATGTGTTAGTTAGCGTCTCTATTTCCTAGTAGAGGGAGATCATTATTCTTACTCTCGCTGCCTTCTAGTGATAGAGTGTAAACGTCGGTGAAGCTGGCCCCAGGGTCAAGCAGAACTCGTGCGCGTGTAGTGGAAAGCATCCCGCGTTTGGCTCCCTGAGAAGCACAAAGCATGGTTACAGGGATCCCGGATTTCCTTGGATCTATTATTGAAAATGGAAGGTGTAGGTCGCCTTGGGAATGCTCTCGACCATGGTAAGCAAGTTGGTTCGGTCTGTGGACATTCAGTCCGAAGAGTGCCCAATCAAGGAAAGGCTTCCTCTGGCTTTGATCTTCATCTACCAGAGTTTCTCTCCTACCCGTATTCAGAACTTTTCCGAGATGTTGTTGATTACGCAGACACCAGTCATCTAGGCCGTTCTGATCGTTGTCGTCGCTCACTGCTGGAGATCCCGTTCTGGTGTGATTTGCTTGGCTGAGATCCAGATCCACCAGACTACTGCCGTCCCAAGTATCCATAATCGTATCGTCTACTTCTGTCGTGATTTGGCCATCTCTGATAATGTGACCAGCAGTGAGTCCGTAGAGCTGATGCTCTCCGTCGGTGGATATAACCTTGACCATGCCGCCAAAAGTCGCTTTCCTCGAATATCCGCGCTCATCACACAGACGGATAGGCATGCCACAAAACGTCCTTTTAGCATCGTAGAAACTGTGCATAGGGACACTCTGGACTGATATATCAGAAGCTGATGCCCTCAGTCTCAGTGCGTGTCCAATCACCAAAACCTTGAATGAAGGCTCGTCGTCGCCGCCGGGTTCGCACAGAGACTTGACCAAAGGCTCGTCGAAAAAGTCTTGAACTTTGCGTTTAATGTTCTCCGAACAGATGACTACCATGTAGGACTTCGCGTCGGCATCGGAATCTGTCTTCCCCAGCATCATTGGTCGGATCGCGATCGGTTTGTACATCCCTGGGCCTGATTTGAGCTTGCGCATGAACTCGAGAAGCATTTTCTCAATTTCCAACTGCACCTCGAGGAATCGGCGCTTCGCCTTGGGCTCCATTGCTTTGTTGGAAATACAGAGACCCATTTGCTGGATAAGTGGGATCTGGCCTGGCTTGCGCAACGGGATCGCTGTATCTTTGGGATTGGGTGTGCTGGTGGCTGAGCCGTATCCAGAATCGCGGGCATGCTCATCCAACTCCACCGTCTTGGTCGACGTTGAAATGCATGGCTTCGAATCCAAAGCGGGAGGGTTCGAAAGCTCAAGAGCTTTGAAGGAACTTGCTACTTCCCGGTCGGTCTTCTCCGTCTCCGACTTTGACACTCGCCAGATCCTTTGCAACTTCATTTGAAATAGCGACATGCCTGGCAGAGATACAAATCGACAGTCAAAGACAAGCTCACATAGCTATAGAAGGATAACAAGAGAGCTTGTAACATAGCCGACTTATGACAATGGGGATTCAAGGATAGGAACTCGGATTTATTCAGGCGCTTGTGTGTGGCGGAGTTTATCTCGCCCCCACCCTCCTCTTCCAGTTTCGGGCGTGACTGCATCTCACTCCTGCCTTGGTACCCAGTCGCTTGTCTGTGGCGTTCAAGCTAATATAATATTATGCTGCGGTCACCTCATGAGGGGCCATTCAAAAGCCTGCAGCCTTCGATTCTTATTACCAGCTAGGCAAGTCTAGTCCTGCTGTGTTACGGTAAGCGACAGCAACCGAGCGAGGCATTCGGTAGCAAAGTGGCTGAGTTTCGAGATTTTCTACTTCCAAAATACGCTCGGGCGGCAAACGATGTATTTACCCGCCAGCAGCCTCGACCAAAACCTGTTTGCTGCTGAAACGAGATCCGTGAATGCTGAGAAATTGCCGTCTTCGATATGGACCCTCCAATTGCTCTTTTTCCCCTAGAAAACGTCAACGAATCTCATTTACAAAAACTCTGCCAAACGCTGTGGCATTAGGATTGGTGTGCTGTCTGCACAGCCGGCCAACTTTGTGGATCTGTGAGCTGTCCCTGGAAAAGATGGAAGCGGTTGAAGCCATTCTTCCAATTCTACAAAGCTTGCACCGCATCTTATGTTCCAGAACTCCTAAGTGGCAACCACCCGGCCTTGAGAGGACATGAGGACCTTCTGAACATAATTCGCCTCTTGCAAGACAAATGCCAAAGTGCCCGAGAAGTTCTGATGGAAGACTACTTCTCACGTCTCGGTGGAAACTCGCAACCCGAGGAGAGCGATATGCATCGTGCATTCAACCTCGCATTCAAAGCCATGACTATGGTGACTTGCTCAGGCGAAAATCAACCAGCTGATCTTTTTGATGCCGAGTCTGAGCCGGCGGAGTGGCGCAACAGTGATTCTCTCTCCCAATTCTTCGAATCGGCTTTTCAAATCCGGGACCATCCGACGCTGAACGAGAAGGAGAACGAAGCGGGAATCGACATAAAGTCTCAACTGAGAGCCACTCAGCTTCAGAACGTCGCAGGTCTGAAGTTTCGCGGGACCGATAATCTTAAGGATCACCTCCGGATGAACCAGGAGACGGGGGTCGTTGAGTTGTACCATCACACCTCGGTCCTGAAAGAATGTCTCAACATGCAAGGCCCTGATCCCAATGATCCGGCGCCGACAGGAAATATTTCCAGGTCAGCATCATTTTCACTGTGCTACTTCATCCGACGACAAAGCAGTGGTCGCGAACTCACACTTGCAATAGCATTATTCCCCGACAGCTGGCACTTGAAACGCTAGATTCACTGCAAAAGATCATTTTTCCAATGGACCGCGAGTCCCGAAGAATGTTGCGGTCTCTTGTGTCGAAAGAGAACCTGGACCTAGACTGCCTGAGGTTCGAGACCCTGATAACCCGTTCCGACGACGAGAACGACATCAAGTATCAATACTGGGGCTCTCGGCTAATGGATTTGTACGATGAAATCGAGAACCCGAAGCCTCGCGGTCTTCTGGAGCAGTGGATGGAGAGGAAGAGTGGCGCTAGATATGTCATGATGGCAACCTTAGCTGGCGTCCTGATCGCGGTGATTTTGGGCCTGCTTGGACTGGCTGTCAGTATTTTCCAAGCGTGGGTCGATTATCAGCAGTGGAAGCACCCAGTGACAGTGTAGAAGACTGTTTAATCCAAGCATTCTTGTCGTGCGAGTGCCGGTCAACTCAATTCGAGCAGCAGCTATTCTGTGCTTAGCTAAAGCTGGCAAGCTTATTCTATTTGGGTTATTAGGTGGATTCCTATATTTTTGACATCATCACCTGTTTCCTCGGCCATGACCTGCTGGGACTATTGCGGGCGTGGTCCTTGGAGAGCCCACGCTCATGTGCGACGCGAAAAGCTCCACCATGTCAAGACTATTCGATCTCCGTGCTCTCTCTAGCGGCGTGAGGCCCTCAGCGTCACGGATGCTGAGGTCCGCGCCTCTCTCCACCAGAATCTTAGCCTCATCGTATCTACCGTTGTCAACAGCAGCATGGAGCGGTGTAAGCGCGCCATTCCTCCCCCAGGTCTGTAGGTCGGGGTTTGCGCCGTGATCTAGCAGGGCGTTGATCAGACCCGGATTCGCGCACATGACCGCCCAGTACAACGCCGAGCAGCCGTCGTTTGAGTTTTGAAAATCTGGGTTGGCGCCGTTTTTGACGATCTCCAGAGCGACTGGCAGGTACCATCCGGCGCACACACAGTTGAGGATGGTGTCACCTAAATGTTTTGTTAGCAGTGAGCAGGCCCGCACGTTGTGGGATCGAGGATACTGACGGGCAACCGGGAATACGGTGTTAGGATCAGCGCCATGTGCAAACAGCAGCCGTGTCATGGGAAGGCTGTCCGCGGCCATCTTGAGAGGGTTATAGTCGCGGTTCTCAGTCTTCTCTACGAGGAGCCTGTGACGAGGTTCCGTCCTCCTGGGCTTGCGAGCGCTGGGCGGGAGGATCGAATCCACATCAGCGCCTTTCTCGATCAAGAGTTTCACGTCACCCAGGCGATCCCTCATCACGGCCTGGTGTAGTGGCCTGTAGCCATCCTCCGAGATATTCGGATCGAACCCAAGCTCCAGGAACTTGGCCAGTGCGTTCGAGTCCTCACGCTCAAGCACCACATGCAGCAACTGCGGACCACCGCCGGCTTCTGGAAACCTCTTCACCACCGCTTTAAGCACAGGATCCAGCTTGGAGTCATCCTCCCCGGCGTCCTGCAGCGCGTCGAGGATCCGGGCGGAAAAGCTACCCAGCCGGCAGCCCTTCTCGATAAGGAGGACCGCCACCTCCTGCGAATGCTCCTCCAGGCACACATCGAGCGCGGTCAGGCGGTCGTCGTTCTTCATGTCGAGGGCCGCGCCGTGTTCGACTAGCACCTCGGCGATATCCCTGTCGTCGTATTTTGCGCACACGTGCAGGGCAGTTGCGCCCCCGGCCGCTCTCTCGGTGACGCGGGCGCCCTTGGAGAGGAGGTCTATCACTGCTGCTTTGTCGCCTGCCGAGACTGCTTGTACGAGTGTTCTCGGCGTTTCTGGTCTTGGTAAAGCTAAATCGTCGCTCCTTCCAAGCTCACTGTGATAAACCGTTAGCTTTTGGAAGCAAGCCACGAAAAAAGCGAACCTGCCTAGTATTAATTGTTTGCGGGGGCTCTTCAGGAGCTGTGGCGATGTCCAAGTCTTCCATGTACTTTCTCATGGCGTATCCGGCATCCGTTTCCTCCGCTGTCGACCTCCGGCGTGATCCCTCTGGAATGCTAGAGACGTCGTCCTCGAGCTGCTTTCTTATCTTTCTTGCACTGGCGTCATTGATGAAATTGTCCAGCATCCTGTCGTAACCAGCGGCAATGTCTTGCCGTATCTCGTCTTGAGCTTTGCCCGTCAAATGGCTGATACCCCAGGTTAGCTGGAATATGCTCAACGGAAACCCCTCCTCGAGCTTACCCATTCAACACCGAGACCGCCAAGTTGAAGCTTGCCTTACGGTCCCTGAGCTTCGCCGTTGAGTTCCGGACCTCTTCCTTGTGCATGATCCAGCTGATCATCCTCATCGGGCTCCGCCTGGCACCGCCCGCCTCAGCGAACGGGGTGATGACCACGCGCAGGTCCTGCATCGACTCCTGGCACCATGTCGTGCACTGACTTAGCGTCTGGGCGATGACAGCGTCCTCGCGTCGCAGCGGATAGTTGGTCGTCAGGGTCTGGGCTGACTGGAGTAGCATCGAAAGGCTCTCCAGCTCGACCCTGAGGTCGGTGATGTCTTTGGGTGCATCCTTGATCTCGGTGACCAGCGTGGTGAGGCTCCGCGTTGATTGCGCAGCGAAAGCGAGAACGCCAGCAAGACTGGCTACGATGGATACTGCGGACTGATGTGAGCGCGAGAGTGGCACTTGGCGCGCACTTAAGGGCGGTTTTCACATACGAGGATCCATTTTATGCTTCGTTACTGATGGGGAGTTGATGTGAGACTTCGCCCTCTCCGCTCATGCAAGTCCGACGTCGACCCTTTTCACTCTGAGCACATGGCTCCGCTTATCGCAATCTCTTGGTGCGGTGTGCCTGGAGCTCTCGCGATGGATCGCTTAAGTGCTTACGGAGTGGGCCTGGAAACCCGCAACAACACAGTGGGCCGCCGTCGGCAAAGATCGAGCTCAGCGCCAAGCTGTTCAAGCAGTTCCGTGTTACGTCGTCATAACGGCTGGGACTTTGCCTTGGAGAAGAGGCAACTGAGGGTTATATGAGTAATCTCCGAGCTGTCAGGGTGTGGAAACGTGGGGACCAGGCTACCTCTCCAAGCGTCGATCCGTGCTTCGTAAGCCTATAGCAGTGGCCATAAAAATAGGCCGCAGGATCAGCTGAAAAGGAGGCTCGGCCCGGCAATAATCCTTCTCTCCATGAGTTAGTGTTTGGAGGTACTGCCACTTCAGTAGATTAGCAAGAAAAGCTTTAGTTTGGACAGGGATAGACGACTGATCTTAGAAGTACAACAAAAGGCTCTTTAATTTAGTTTTAGGTGCTTCCATCTTGGGAAGAATGTTTATGAGGATGCCGCTGTGAGATCACAGATTGAAGCTGCTTTGCTAGACGTGCACAGTAGCTATGCCCAATACAATTAACAATCTTCTGAGAACAGAGATCCTGCCAAGTATTTCAATCCAGTATCGCAAGCAACAGTGACAACCTTTTTCCCCTGCCCCAATTCCTTAGCGAGTGTGACAGCTGCCGCAATATTAAGACCCGAAGATTTTCCAACTAGCAAGCCTTCCTCTCTGGCCAGCCGACGACACATAGCACGAGCATCGTCTTCACTGACTGTACGAACTTCATCATACAGATTTTGATCGACATGGCCCGAGATGAAGCCGGGTGCGATGCCATCGATGCCGTGCGATCCGCTTCGACCGGTGGCTAACAAGGCGGATGATTCGAGCTCAAGGAGGACAACTCGAACGTCTGTTTTCTTCGCTTTAAGGACGCTGGACACGCCCATCACCATACCCGCCGTCCCGAAAGATGCACAGAATGCGTCGAAACCGTCTGGAAATTGCTTCTCTAGCTCGTGGCCGATCTCCGCGTACCCGACGAGTGCGTCGCGGTTGCTGAACTGGTCGCTGTAGAAATACTCCTCGGTCGGCCCAAGGCTTACAGCCCTCACCTTCATAGATGCCATCAGGTCTGCTGTCGTTTTCCCAGTAGGACTGTGTGTGATATCGACCATCGCCCCAAACGCGGCCATTGTCTACAACTTCTCTTGGGCGTACGCATCAGACGACAGGGCCCTGAATTTGTACCTTTTGACGGCACAGATGAAGGCCAGAGATGAGCCAGTACTGCCGCCAGTAGCTTCGACCACGGTAGTGTTAGGTGTAAGATCTCCGCGGCGCTCGGCTTCGTCTATCATGGACTTGGCCATTCGATCCTTGTAGGAGCCTGTCGGGCTGACATATTCGAGCTTGACAAAGACATCCATCGGCGCTGCCTTCCGGCACGATGCGCTTGAGCTGCACAACCGGCGTGTTCCCTAAGGTATCCAGAACCGACGGACTTGGAGGTGGAGGATTCGATGACATGTTGGATGGAAGCACGTTCTTGTCGGTGCGGGATTGAAGTTTGGAACAGATTTGTCACGTTGCACATGTGGAAATTTCAACATACCTACCAGGGGGAGGGGGGGTCCCTGACTGGGTTACGCAACACAATCTTGTTTTGAGATTTAATTGAAATTTCGTAATTATAGCGAATCACTAGCAAAAGGCTATTAAAATGCTATTAAGGATAAAATATATTAAAGCTTTAAATTATATTAATATTAACTTTATATTAATATTAATCTTATATTAGCTAATATTATTATAATTTTATATTAAAAGCTTTAATTTAAACCTTATTAATATTAAAGCTACTTTTATTTTTAAATATTTTTATAATTTCATAAACCCTTTTATAATAAATAATTAAGCTAGTAAAGAGTAAATAAGTAGTTAGGTTAAGGATAAAGGGAAAAAAAGTTTTTTTAAACCCTTTATTAAGGATTAATATTATATTATAATATATTAGGAATAATCTTATATTAAAAACGATTATATATTAGTAATAAGCAAATAATGCGATATATATAAAAAAACATATTGTTAGAACATTAATAGCATGTTACTATTATGTTGCTTTCCTTTCAACTTGCTTGCAGCACCTAAACAAAAACCCCCCCTCCTCCTGGTAGGTATTTGTGCCTCTGTGCCAGTGCATGCAACTCAGGATACAAAATGACTCAGAGGCAAAATGACTCTTACAATGTTAGAGTCCACGATCGTAAATTCTTTCCTCTTCCCGATGCTAAGTAGGGTCGACCTCAGTTTTAGGTAACTTTATACGTACTAGTAGGGCTGGAGAGATGCTCGTAATAATCATAACTCTTGCCGGCAAGAAGGTCGCATGTGAGTCACAAAGATTTCGCCCACACAATTTTCTGATTGCCCCTAGTTATATGGCCTGGCTACCATATATTGCCCTCGAGACTGATAAGTGCGCAACTGCACGCGATGGGTGAGCCTACTCCGTCTCTTAAATTTGCTCGTCCATCAAAATTCGACTTGCACTCCGGGATCATCGTTATGGTTGTCCATGGATTACTAAGAGATTTTCAAATTCAATTGTGTGTAATTATCTGGCTAAGAAGAGACATGTACATCTCTTCACAGACCCAAGCACACGACATATATTCATTCCGGTCCAGGCATGTAAACGCTCATCTCGAATCCATTCGTAAATGGAAGAGTCATATTCTGGAACCCGTTCTGCGGGTCTCTCAGGAACGCCAGCAGGTCTTTGTACCCCTCAGCACCAGATATAGTGTTGTCGGTCAGGACGACTGCGCCCTTCCGCAGACGAGGAAGAACGACCTTTAGTGTCGGAAGAGCGAGGACAGACCAGACTAAACCATAGATTAGAACAAGGGTATCATCCCATTTGGTGATAGAAAATGGGAAACTCACTGTCAAGCAGCAGGAGATCAACCTGCGGCAACCCTTCCTTCAGAGTCTCAAGCAGATTTCCCACCCTCAGATCAATCTCCTGCTCCACCTCCGCACCGCACTGCGCCCAATACCCGCGCGCAATCTCTGCCTTCTGTATCTCCTTTTCGGTCGCGACGACCGTTCCGGACTTGCCGGTGGCGGCCTTGGTCTTGCCAACGGCGAGAGCAAGGTAGATGGTGCTGACCCCAAAGCTCGTGCCTGCCTCGACGACATTGGTTGCGCCCATGGCGTTGATGAGCTGGTACGTGAACTGGCACTTGTCCTCGTCCAACGCGATGAACTTGTCCAGCATGAGTTTGTCGAACTCGTGCGCGGAGCCGGCACGCGAGTGCTGGTCCTCTAGATCGCCGATGACTTTGGGAGAGAATACCTTGGCGCTCTTCGACAAGACGCTCTCCTGTTCCAGGGATTTTGCGTGCAGCTCAGAAAGCAGCTGCGAAATGTGCTGAGGGACATTGATGGGTGAAGGAGAGGACATGATGTAGGCTTGGGGGATTCACAGTTTCAAACTGCAGAGAAGGTCAGCAAACGTTGGCTTAGATGCGCAGACTGATCCTCTGAAAGAAGTGAGAGGGAGTGATCATTATCGATCTTCTTGAGCTCTACTTATACCTAAATACCTTTCTGTGGTCCTTGGAGGTCTGCATCTTTCGTCTCCGAGGCCGCCATGAGCGGCTGGCAGATGTTGGATCAGTCAATCTGTGTCCCCGTCCCCCCGCATGGCTGGATTCATATTTCCGCGGCCGTCAGTTTGCAGGCCCCACACAGCCCACGTTAACGACAGCTGAACGCGATCAGCCGTTGCGCGAGCTAGCCGAGTGAGTCATTTCGTCGTTGTTCGCGTCACGCAAACCAAGGAACTGCAACGCTGCTCTCGGCGCAAAGCCACCATTGCTTCGTCTCGACCGTGTCGGAGTTTTCCTGCAGATCCCGCTGCTTCCAGATCGTCTCCAGAATTGTGCGCATGACGCGGACATTCCCAACCTTCCGGACCTTGTCCATTCGGTCGAGAGTTTCGAGGATATAAATGCGCTCCTCGTCCGTACGCGCTTCGCAAGCGACTACAAACACCGGCCACGGTCCAGTGGCTACCGGGACCTCACCCAGCGCCTCAAACGCCTGGCGTACATAGGCCGCCCTTCGCACCTCATCGCCGATGTCGGGGGCAACCCGCTGGAGACACAATAGGCTCGCTAGACGATACAGTTCTGCAGTCGCTGATGCAGCTTTGATTTCTGCCACCGTGGAAAGGGAGACTCCGTCCGGGCTCAGCTCCTGCCATGCAATTTGTAGCTTTTGTTCCAGAGCCACTCTTTGCTGGAAAGTCTTATCCAGATCATGCTGTTTGGCATGCGGATCAAGTGTTATCGTGCGCATTTGGTTGATGAAAGAGATACTTTCAAAAACCTCTGTGGAGCAGCCGAGAAGACCAACTACCTTTTGTATATGTCAGCGAGGTAGATTCTTGCATGCTGATGTGTCTCACGAACCAATTTTGGCGAGAGGTTTGAGGAAGACGTTACGCTCAGCTCATCCTGAATAGTTCGAGAAGGATGAGCAAAGGCGCTCAGAACGTCATAGTACAGCAACCATGCAATGAGAAATTGGGACACCGGGAGCTCGCGTTGTTGCCGACTCATGTTGGTCAAGATCTTCTTCGCGCCGTTCAGGTGTAGATGAAAATGAGCAGCTTCTTGTTCATCAAAAACCTGGCAAACCCAGTCAACCAAGTTTACCCAGTGTATCACCAGTCTCGACTTCACATAGTACATGCACAACATCATGCTAGTAGCTAGCTGTGCCTCGGCGCGTAGAGTTGAATCATAGTATGATGGTGCTGCAAGAGATTCGTGGAGACCTTTCATGGCGGCTGTTTTGTGAGCCAGCGCGGCACCTGGTCTCTGACGATGATGTGCGGCAATGGCCAGCATTGAGCTGCACAAGGCGCTTGTGGACCGATCTTTGCAGGAGGATGCTATGGACAGAATGTGATGTCGGAAGCCGTTTAGCGCCCGAGTTGTTGAACACATTGGTGCTATGATCTGCTCGTCTGTAATGGTTGTGTTAGTTGGAGCAGAGCAGTTAGCAAGGGACTAGACACGGACAATAAGCCAAGAGCACGGAGTCTTCGCCGACTACGGGTGAGTGGAGCGAGAGAGAAGGAATTGGCCCTGCGGAGACTTTTTCCATGACACGACGCCAGGTGAGGCTCTTCCCGGCAAGCCGAAAATCCCTACTGGTTTAGTTCAAGTACCTGCGCTCCCAGATTTGAGGATACCTTTCGGCACCGGCGTGATCTGCTACACTGCATACAATGAGATCTCTGCGCCGGATGCTGTTGTGGTCAGGCCAATTCAACCGTATCCCGTAGCCCGCACATTGTCTTTCTGTTCGTGTGCAGTTATTGCAATGAGGAATGGTTCTATCACACCCAATCTTCCGCTCTGGTTGGTAATCAAATCAGTATTTCAGCCAAGCCCTAACGATATCATGGGTGCCTTACTCTTACATGTCCAACAGCCATGTGCCGCTTTCATAATGTTGACAATCGTCGAAGGTTGCAATTTGTTACGACAAAATAAAATTTTGATGTTCAGGTATAAACTGTCAGCGGCACCTTAACTTAGTAGTCGCTGCGAGAGCGCTGTTGCGGTGCAGTAACTGGAGTTAGTTTGAGGACCTGGGGCCGTAGGTACTCTTATATGCAATTAAACGTTCCATTTTAGCGCTAATAACCTGCATATAACACCTTACACCAAAAATCATATGCACTTATTATACCGCTAGTTAATACCCTTAATATCATTAATTTACGCACTAACTAAGGTTATTATCACTGTTAAAAGCTTATATATTATTATGGGTTGGCCTTAAGCGTTTGCTGGAAGGTACTTAAAAGGAGTTATAAATTGCAATATTTAAGAAGTAAGTTAGGCCTTAAAAGGGCTTAACTTTAAATCTATCTTTTAAGTATATACCTTATTATATAAAAGGGTTAGGTATAATATAAGCTTAATATAGATATGCATTATAGCTTAGGCAATAGCTTAAGCTCATTACATAGCTCTCTTCTCATTCTTACATTATATATAGCAGGGATTAAACCTAAAGCTTTTGCAATCTTATATTAATTATATATTTACCTTATTATGCACCTATTTTAAGGCTATATTTATTTACCTTAAAAGTAATAATTATTTATTTTATTTTTATATTAGCTATATTTATATATTATGCTTAATATAATGCAATATAAAATGTATATTATATATATTATAAGCTATTATAATATAATAACGTTATTATTATATATATAATCCTTTATTAATATATTATAATTATATATAAGTTATATATATTATTAACCTTAAGCTATAATGCGCTTTTATTAATATATTAATATTACTTATTATAGTTATTATCCTTATATTATATTTATTATTATTACTTAAAATAACTTCCCTATAATTATACTTTTCTTTATAATTCCTTTTTCTTAATACTATATTATTATTATAATATACTTATTATATATATTATTTTATTACCTTTATATAATCTTTTTATTATTCTTGCAATTATTTCTTTATTTATATTAATTACCCTTTAGCTTTATTTTACTTTTAGCTAAGAAGCCTTTTTTAGCTTAATTAATACTTATATAATTCCTTAACTTCCTTATAATTTAATTCTTTAACCATTTATCTTTATGCTTATTATACTCTCTTTATAACTACCCTTTTTCATTAAAAAGCTATTGCCTTAATGCATTAATATTCTTTTAATCCCTTAATAATTCCTTAACATACCCTTCTTTATTTATATTTTATTTATTAAGCACCCTTTCCTTAACTTATTAATACCTTTTTAATTCTTTAATATCCTTTTTAATATTTACTTTTTTTTTATTATATAAAAAGAAAAATAAAAAATGGTTTTTATTATAAGTTTTAATAATTAGCATGGTAGCTTTAATGCAGCTATTATTAATAATAATGATAATAATAAGCTACTTTATTACTTTAATAATATAATTCTTAAAGTTACTTATTTTTTTTTTCTTAATATAAATTTATTATAATTATTAATTAAATATAAGAATATTATATTATAAAATTATATTAAGTACTTAATAATTTTAATAATAAGAATTAATAACTTGCTAAGCAGCTATTCTTTCTTTATAAATTATATATTATAACTTTTTATAAAATTAATAAGCTATTTATTTATATACTTAAAGATTATAATATATTTTATATTAGCTAATATTATTATAAATATAAATATATTTAATATATATATATATTTATTAATTTATTATTATTATAAAATATATAGCATTATTTAAGGAAAGTAATTATTATTAATAATAATTATATTTTAATCCCTAAGTAAATTAAGTTTATTATCCTTATTTATAATAATGCAACTATATTTACCTTAACCTTTAATTATATTATTATTAATTTTTATAAGGCTATAAGCATTATATTAATAAAGCTGCTTTTTATTACTTTTACTATTTACTTAAGCAGCTATGCTTATTTTTATAACATAGCCTTAATTAATACCCTTATTAACCTTATTAAAAATATACCCTTAACCCTATTATAACTTATTAATATATTTTTATTTTTTATTAATATTAATATAATTATATATTATATTAATAATATTAATATTAATAATTATTAATTAATTTACTTTATTTAAAAAATAATAAATATCTTTATAACTCTTAATAATAATTAAAAAGCTAAGGTTAATTATTATGCTAATAATATATACGCCTTTAATATAAATACCTTCTTTATTCTTTTCTTATATTTATATTAATTTAACCTTAAGTATACTTTAATATATTTAAAGATTGCCATTATAAGAAATTTAATATAATAATTAATGCCTTAAATGCTTTTATTAATTAAATTTTTAACGTTAAGTAATATAATTATAATTTAAGTTATTATTATACTTATAATAAATTTAAAAAAAAAAGTAAAAAGATAAAAAAGAAAACTTTAAGGACTTATTTTCTTTTAATTGCAATACTTTTTATTATAAATATTAATTAACCTAGCCTATTATTATAATTATAATAAGTTTAAATAATTAAAAGCTTTATTTTTAAATAAAAAATTTATAAATTTAACTTTTATTATTATTAAGTTATTATAGCCTTATTATTAACCTTTATAATTTTTAATTTTATAATTAAATATTTTTAATATACTTATTTAAATAAATAATAATAAAGAAATTTTAAAAGGGTAATATGCTTAATATAGTTTTGCTTTATAAAAAACTAGCTATATAGCTTAACTTTCTTTTAATTTAATATATTACTTAATTTTTATAAAAAAAGGATTTAATTTATTTATTAAGTAAGTATATAATAAATTTTAATTAATTAAGAGTATTTATATATAAATAAAGTTATAAATTTAAATCTCATTATTACTATACCTTGCTTAAATATAATAAATACTTAAGGCTTACCTTATAGCCTTATTTAAATAGCTTATAATAATATAATAAGATTTTACTTATTTCCATTCCATTTTTACCCATAACCCTTATTACCTTATATTATACTTTTAAATAAGCTTATTAAGCTTAATATAAACTTATCTTATAATTACCTTAAATAAGCAATCCCTTATAAATAATAATATTCCTTTATTATACCTTAAATAAATTAAGGGTTATTAATTTTTATAAGTTTTTAAAAAGTTTTTATATTAATATATTTTAATCTTTTTATTTAATATAAACTTACCTTTTAAGGAAATTATTTTATAAGTACTTTAATATATTTTTAATTACTAAGATTTTCTTTATAAGATACTCCTTATCTTAGCCCTTATTTACTTTATTTAAAATTAATATAACACTTAATTAAGTATTTATAAATATTTAAATAAATAGTAAATCCTTTATAATATATTTAATTTAATTAATATTAAAGATAAAATAAACATAACTTAATATATTTAAGATAATTATTTAAAGTATAAAAATATTTATTATAATATATTTTTAATATAATTAATTAAGCTTTTTTATTAATTAAATAATTTAAAAGTACCTTAAAAATAGCTATACTTAATTATTAATATAAAACCTTTTCGCTATTTAATAATATTTATTAACTATTTACTCTTATTATTACTAAATAAAAATAATAATAGCCTAAGTAATATTTATTTTAATTTAAAAATGATTTAAAAATGCAGCTACCTAGTCCTTAAAACTAGCTATAAATGCCGTTATATTTAAGGGGCTTAGAATTGCTTATATATTAAACTTATTTATTAGCTAATTTAAGCTTTAGCTAGTTATTATTAAATCCTTATTATTTAATGCTATTTAACAAGCTAGGAAGTAATTAGCTTAATTATCTTATAAAAAGATAATAATATTATATAAGTACTTTTATACTTCTTAATTTATTTACTTTATATTACTATTTATTTTAAGATAATATGCTATAAATAAAAAGCGTTTTATATTTACTTAAATATATAAAAAGCTTAAAACACCTTTATTTAATTAAAGTCTTAATTATTAATAATAAATATAAAGAACTTATAATAACGCTATTATAAAGTAATAAAGCATTATATATAATCTTTTATAATTATAAAGTATATTATTTTTAAAAAAACTTATTTTAAAAAGTAATTTATAATAATTATTAAGTAATATAAGTTATTTTTATAAATTAATAAGTTTATTATAAAGTTAATAAATATTTAAAATTAATAGTAATTTAAAAAAGGAATAAAATAAAATAAGCTTTATTATAATTATTAATTAAGCTAAGTTTAATAATATATATTATAATTTTAAATAAAATATT